AATATTTTACCTCATTTCCATCGCAACGACCTTGAGCATTTTGTCAAACTTTCTATGTTACATACTTTAGAAAGTTCATTAAAATGTTGTTTTGTTGAAAAAATCGGATGAAGGTGAAAATTTCGGAACGACACGAGTGTCGTTACTGGACATGAAAACGACATTTGTCCTATTACATATCTAAATACGAGTATAAGAAATCACAGCTCATTTGTCTCATGAAAATAATAAGTGAAATTTATTTATATTGTAACATGCAAATAACACGTACAATGTTGAGATATATGTTCATTANCCAGAATATATAGAAATTGAGGCAACATTTTAAATATGTTTGTCCCTTGAAATGAATGGACGCATCTGTTGGAAGAAACATACCTATTCAAAGACTTCTCAAAATAAAATTCTCTTTCGGGGGCGTTGCCCCCGAGCTCCCATCGGGGGCGCTGTCCCCTCGACCCCCACGACCTTATCGGGCAGGTCGATCCACGTTGTGTAGCGGTAAACACTAGTCGAGGCGGCAAAACATTCGCAAAACAAAACATGGCACATGCAAAATGATGAAAAATATCTAACAGTAAGGAATGAGACTGCTCCTCTTCTGGATGGGATTGAAGCCACTCCTCTTTTGAAAATATTGATTCTTTACAATCAGATAAGGAATCTGTTGGAGTATATTGGTGCTGTACATGTGGGAAACTATCTTACTTAACAAAAACTAATATTTAGACCAATATGATTAATACGTTTTACTTGCACTATCCAAGACACATGTTTGGGCCTCATTTTTAGTGTAGAATACATTTTGGAATAATAGATTGATGGAGAATGTATGATTAAAAATGAAGGAAAAGTTATTGATGTGATGGAAAATATTATTTTATTGAAGAATGTGTGATTGAAAATGAGTAAAAGAATGAGAATGAAAAAAATAATGTATACCAAACATGACCCTATTTTTTTGTTTTTATTATCGGTCAAAGGCCATTTCACAACCTATATTGTCCAACTAGGCTAAATGGCCAAATTTCCCTTAATAAATCATGGGATTGAAGGCCCATTAAATCTACTTCAAAGTTCTGGGCATTTAGAGTACACATTTTTTTGGTGGGCTCAGGCCCTACCATGTTGTTAGGAACTAGAAGTCAACAAGCTGTGTTTGCATTGTCCATGCCCACTAACTAAAGAGAATTTAGATACGTTTAGTGCACAGTATATATAGACGGTATTTTCTTTTTATCCCCTGTTTGGTTCAACTTAAAAAGTTTTTTAAATTCTAAATCAAAACCAATAATTAATTTTAACTACATATTTTATGAGATTCACAACTTTTAATCACAATATTCCATCAACTTATCAAAATCTACTAAAAAATTGATTGTTATCTGTGTCTTGTTACCGTTCATCTGGCTAGAGCTTTGGTGATTAAGAAATCTCAAAGTTTTGTGCAGAAAATTGAATGCAGCTTTAAGGGTTTACATTGTGCTGTTTTCTTTCATTTTTCAAATATAACTTGTGCACTTAAATGAATCGACGATCATTTAGGTGTTTTAGTTTGAACTCGAAAATTCATAATTTCGAATGAGCTATTTAACCTCGAGAATGAAGCAAATAAATTTTATATGATCTTGTTCAACTAATACTAGAACCCCGTGTACGTTTTCTTCTAGCCGATCCCTAAACCTAGGTAAAGGGGGTTGTAAAATTTGTTACAATTTATGATATGAATCCCAAATCACATTGTGACAGAAAGGGATAGATGTATCCGACTCTAAATTACTGCTTAGTTTATTGTTGTTCTACTAAGCCTATGTTTGATGGCCATTATTATGTAAAAATGATATTTTGAATTGTGTTTTTTTGGAAAATGAATGGTTAAAAATTGGAGAAAAGTTTTGAATTTACGTACAAAATATTTTATTGTGTGAATATGTGATTGAAAATGAGTATGAGAAATAAATTGTTTTGTTTTAAAGGGAGTCAAACAAGGACTAAATCTAGAACATATCAGATTCTTACTCGATCGGATTTTGGAACATACGAAATCAAAAAACCTTTCAAAGAAAGATCTTGTTCCAGGAACCTTTTTTCTCGCATTTGGAAAATGCTTCTTGTACACAACTATTACATAATGTTTTACGTAATGATGATGTGTTAAAATGTAAGTAGAGAAGTTATTCGATTGATGAGATTTTGCTGGTAAGCCGTTATGTAAGTTGTTATATATATATGTAGCACAACATCGATATACATATATATATTTATAAAAGAGAACTAATAAAGTGTACTAATATACATTACAAATCCTTTTGTTTCATGGTATATTTCCTGATCATCGTGTAATAAATCCACAGACTCAATATACTCATTTCTTGTATATTTTGATATTTTTCCATCTTGATTCCATATATTTGCTTGAATTTTCTGGTGCAGCATATACACCACACTTAAAATACAGGTCTCCAGGTCCTTGATCATTCACCACATACTTTTTAACTCCATTAATGAAAACTGTGATCTTCCCTTCATCAACATCATGAATCACATTCAATCTGAACCACTTATCGTAAAGATCAGTTGCCACCACGTCAAATTTATAGTATTTCATATCACCATCATAAATCCTCAGCTGTAAAGTTGTAGCTCCTTCACTTGCACCATGGATTTGCATTATTGTCACTCCAGAAGTTCCTGTTGGAACATATGCATAGCCTTCAAATTGCCAAATCCCGGATGAATAATCTTGGCCCTGCATAAAAGTTGAGAATAAGAAGAATTATCTTATAGTCTGATGTTCTTAGTTGAAGTATCGTACCTTAATGCGAACTTCTGTTCGGGGTCTGGTACCACTTCTAGATTTGAATGGCTTATCATTGGTATAGACCCAAAATCTTCTGACTCCACTTGCATCACTATATCTATCTGCAAGTGGTAAATTATAAGGTTTTTGCAGAACGAAATTTCCGTCGCTTAATGGCACTAAGGTGAAGCCATCTGTGGGATCAGCAGCACATAGAAGATTAAAGCTCGTAGAAAAGCAAACAATCAGCAGAAGCAGAAGACAGTTGGAACTGTAAGAACCCTTCATATTATCTGTTTGTGAATTCGAACTTGATTTTGGGAGTTGCTATGCTTCAGTACTCACTTAGTAGTGTATTTAAAGGGCACATACTGACATATTCGAGCAAGTTAAGGACAAAACTAAATTCTGATGCATTATTTGTACCTTGCATGTTAGAAATTTATGATGGATTTTAGTGTAGTAATCATATGAATGTTAATTTGTCCAAATTATTTACTACTTAATTTGGACAATATATTTCTTAAAAATAATATTAGCATGGAATGGACTCTTGATTTGTTTCAAGGCATTGATTGCTAAGTCATTGATTATGATGGTATACTGCTATTCTGTCATTTTCTTTCTAGTTTCTCTTTGGCATAAAATATTTAATTTGATTTCTAGATGAATCAATGAATCGAACAAAGTCACAAAACAGTTCATAAAAGAATGAAAGATGATAATAATTAAAATGTTAAAGATTAATAATTAATGAAAACGTTTAAAAATCATAGGCCCATATTGGCTTAAAATATGTCTGAAATTTCTTTTATTACTTATTACTTCATTTGTGAACCTAAATGAAACGAAGGATGGACAAACAGAGTAGACTGCCTAATTTAATACTTTAAGGAGTAGGTCTTATCTCTAAAGGATCCAAACCAAGTAAAAGAAGTAAAATTCCAGAATTATCTCTATAGAGAAAGCCGAGCATTGGTGTGTTTTAAGTTAAATTCTGATTCTTCTAAATTTGCATTTGCAGCGGTGGAGGAATGCCAAGGGAAAGCTCTAGTTGCCTTTCACGACTTATATGAAGAATGTGTACTAGTTAAGATGCTGGATTGAGGATATATCATGAGCTTGGTTTCTCTAAGATATGGGATTCTTTGACTACTTACCACTAATTAAGAAGGAAGCTCTGGTCTAGGGATGGCAACGGGGC